CAACATCGAACATTTCACAGGTTTTCATGTATAATTTTGTCGCTTAACAAATTTGATGTTAGGTATCGAGAGTCAGAAATTATATGCACTGACGGTTTGACTTTGACGCTCGATATATAGATGTTTGGGAATTGATGGCTGAACAAGTTCTCTGGTGCCCAACCATTTTTGAAATGGGATGACTGGACCACTCGAGACATTGATTCAGACCAAGGGAAATGAAGGAGACGACGTTCTCAAACATTGTTAATCGAGATCGACCTTACACACCTTGCTCTCTTTTAAGAAGCGAAGTCGAACGGATGCAAAGGACCCTACATACAAACGACGCGTATACGTATACTAGTCTATTAAAGAGTGAAATACTCAGCTTTAATTTGGTATATGATTTGTGAATTCTTATTGGGTGGGTGAAAGAATCTATTTTAGCGTTTTCGAGACATCTTTCTCTACTATCCTACAAATTATTAAAATATGGAATTTTAAACACTTATCATGTTTGTTGATTATAATTACCTGCTGAAAATAATCTTACATTACTTTAATGAGAACCTGATTTTTTATAACTAGGTTAGTGTAATTGTTTCTGTCGTGATTAGAACCATATATATATTCCGTATATTTTCTTACATACAATTCTACAAAGAGCAAAATATTTTATTGAAAACGGGCAGAACACCCAGGAATAAGATATGCCATGCTTAAAATGTTACCTAGAGCACTTTGTTGTATTTATATGTGGTTTACATATGTTATGAAACAAATAAATTGATAACATCTACATATATACTCTAGTCAAGAATATAATGTACACTGTATGAAATACAAAAGCGTGATTTTTAAACATTTCAATATTGCATTCCCGGGACTCGGTGTAGTGATAAAAAGATGCTATGATTCATGTAGCAAAATCAACAGCAATATGTTTATCTACCGTAATGGCTTATATTGTCTACACGGAAATGGGGTTACCCTTGATCACCATCTGCTGGGTATACACTATACAGCCCTCTGACTCTTACAAATGATTTAACATTTAAGACGCTGATGGAGCTTAATTGAGGTCCTAATGTAGCGTTTTTAATGCAGTTTTGATTCGAAACTTCAGACTGAGAATATTTAGCGTTGTGATCCCCGACTATATACACTATCACTGATCATCGCTCGTCTAAAGAGGGAAATAAGCTGAGCTCTGCCAAAGGGTATGTGTTATGTTGTCTACATGGAAGTCGTGTGCTGAAAGTATCAATATTAATGGAGCCAGCACATCTGACTCAACCATTTCAACTAAAGATCTAGACTCAATCCACTCTGATCGCTATATCAATATCATGTATCAATATCATATATCATTACCATACATAAATATCGTATATCAATATCACATATCAATATCGTATATCAATATCATGTATCAATATCATATATCATTACCATACATAAATATCGTATATCAATATCAATATCGTATATCAAGATCATGTATCAATATCATATATATCATTACCATACATAAATATCGTATATCGCTTTCATATATCAATATCGTATATCAATATCATATATCAATAGCATATATCGATATCAATAGCACATATCAATATCAATATCATATATCAGTATCATATATCATTACCATACATAAATATCGTATATCACTATCACATATCAATATCGTATATCAAAATCATATATAAATATCGTATATCAATATCAAATAGCAATATCGTATATCAATACCATACATCAATATCGTATATCAATATCATATATCAATAGCATATCTCGATATCAATAGCATCAATATAATCTATCAATATCATATCTAATTTATCAATGTCATATATAAATACCACACATCAATAGCAATACAAAGGCATACCATTTGATATGGATAATTGGATTTGCTAAACTAGACAGTTGTACTATAGAGTTTCATTTTAAAATGCTGGGGTAGATATGGTGGATGAATTTTTAATATCAATCAATGCCTCGGGGAAAATAACTTTGGTTAAAATGAGCAAAGTTGTTATGCAAAAAATGAAGCCAAAGTAAAGTAATTCGTATCATAGTACAAAATTATATGTTACCATGCCAATCGTTTAGCCAGGTATAACATTGATTAAGGTGGTTCTGTATGTTAAGAAATGAAATTGGATTGATTAATTATTCTTATGTTAATTAGTACCCATAAGCAATTACATAAATGGAGAGCAACTTTGTATGAAGAAGTAAATAAATATGCTAGGTTATAATTTGATGATAATAAATATTCTAAATACTGAGCAAATTAAGGGACTTACATTTTGTTTTTTCCAGCAATATAGAAAACAATTGAAATATATTTCCGCTTTTTATGTTGCAATTTTGTCTGTTTATCTCTGGTTCTATTTTAGTGCCGACCTTTAACAAAATTTTACCATGTATTCCACGATGTGGAGATATATCCAGTTAAGAAAATTTAACGAATATAATTCATTTCGATTTTTAAACTTATTTTTATTATATTTTAACTTATAAAACGTATACATAGAAGCTCGTCAGGCGCAACCGCCTTAAGTATATTGATAATGGGCATCAAATGAACAGTCGATAAACTGCGATGACATACATTCATTAAAACCCAGCAATTTAAATTTTCCACCGAGTAGACATGAACATCTATGATTTTAGTTTTAAGTATACATATATAAATGTATATAGCTATTTAGGACATAAAATGAGCAGTGAAACATATTGAATATACAAAACCCAGCAATCGAAAATTTCCGCTGTTTTTAAGTTTTAAGTATATATACTGTATAGGCTATTGGGCATAAAATGAACAGTCAACAATACAGTGATATATATTGAATATACAAAACCTAGCAATCGAAATTTTCCGCTGCGTTGACATATGCTCAACGCGCAATCACACTTGAAATCGTGTTATCCGCTTTAGCAATCGAAAACTTTGTGCCATATGCAAAAGTGTACTTAATTAAAATAACGAAGTAGTCAATGTATAATCAAATCAAGATAATAATGGGCCATTCAACTTATGTTCGGTATCAAATTAGTGACCATTAAAATACCAATTAGCGCCAGCGCTCGCGTTTCTTTGTCTGTTATTCATTTAGGATTTCCGTTGTTATTTTCCCGTTTCCGTAACTCTATTTTGTAAAATGTGTGAATCTCAACCGGTCAACAAACTTCGCATTTCAATTTAAAAGCGTTGCTTATAGCAATCTGGAAAATTGCACTGCATAAAACAATATAATTATTTAGCTATAACAACAAGTTTTGGGGTTTGGAAATATGAAAAATGATCAATCTTAGAATCCATTTAAGAAATTTATCTCTGGAAAACATTGTTACACTAAAGAGTATGATATTTGACAGAAAGGCTTTGTGAATTTTGACCCGAATAATTTCTGGAAAATGAAAAATGTTGCTAATTGCGAAATGTTAAATGTTTAACTAAATTGTTCCTGACAGGATTTGAAAAAAACTCCATAAAACTCCATAACTCATTGAAACTGGAGAAATAAAAGCCATAAAAAGATTTTTCTAAATTCTAACAACTTGGTATAGTTGTACAGGGCGTTCATAAAGTTCTTGCAAAAGTGCTCTAAAATTTTTGTATCTCAGTCAATCTGGCTGTATTTTTCACTCGGTATACCTACACTATTCATACATTGAGATCCGAAGTTATAATCAATAGGTCTTTGAGGAAAAAAAGTTATGGTTCCTATAGTCACATGCTTCGGGGGTAAGCGGAGCAGGCAAAAAGGGTCTGTTTTGTTTGAATGTTCAAAATGTTTTTAACTTGTCCTATTTACTTTAATAATGGTATCTTAAGAGTGTAATGTGTTCAAATTAGTGTCCATCATGGTGTTCTATACACGTCTGCTGTCTTACTTACCATTCCTCAAAGATATGAAGGAACTCATCTGGAAAATTTCTTGCGATTGATCTTTGTATTGATGGCTTTCATCAACATCATCTGATCCTCATTGGATTTTGTTCTTTTAAGGCCTGATCTAGCATTGTCCTTACCATTTGTTCTACCATCAGTAAATGTTTTAGTCCATTTTGTAAATGGTTCTTTTGGCCATAGCCTCGTTTCCCTACACCTTACGAATGTCTTCAAGTGTTTGTTTTCTTGAATTTCCCGGTAAAACATACATTCCGATGCTACTGAATATTTGTTATATCTTTTGCTGATTTTGCTGCCATTTTCACAAAAATAAAATTGACGCTGCCTTTCACAAAGGCCGATGTCATTAACCAATATAGGTCACTTTGATACCATCAGTGATGTCATGAATCAAATAAATATTAACAATGATGTCATCATATGACTTCATCTAGGGTTGACATGGCAACCTTAGCTTGTTTTGTATTTTCCAGGATACTTTAAAGTATGTTTAAATTACATCTAACCCATATCTTTTATCTAATTTTTTTCTTTTATTCCATGCTGCTCCGCCTACCCCTGACTTGTGTAGCTATAACAATCATAACTTTTTTTCCTCAAGGACCTGTTTATTATAATTCAAGACTCAAATGTATGAATAGTGTAGGTATACTGAGTGAAAATTTCAGCCAGATTGATTGAGAAACAAAAAATTTAGAGTACTTTTGCAAGAACTTTATGAACGCCCTGTATACGGTACATATAAATATACGAGTATAACAACCAAGTTTGTTTACTTCTTTACCCTAAATACATGTGCAGTCGGTCAAATGAAATAAACCTTGTCAAGTTCAATATATCACACAATTTTAATTCAATAACAGATTATCTAAGCTTTGACTTTACCAGGATTAGGCAACCTTTCATAAGTAGACGTATTCATACATAACGTGATGAAATCAATGTAAATATGTGTTAAGTAGTATTAAAGTCGAGAGGTTAATCCTAACATGACTTCGTTCGAGTGACTGATTCTTCTCGGCGATCGCTTTAGACAGATGGCATCGGGAGTTAAAATTCCGATTGGCTGCTTAAGAGATGCCTTTGCCGAAGTCAGCGGCATTGGAGACTAAATACCTAGTCGGTTTAAATTCATAAAAGCAAGTCAAAAACATCACACGCTGCGGCTTTTGTTGTTGTATTACTGCCCGGAAAATACGTACAGGTTAACGGCGATCCTCAATTGGCCTAACAATTTCCCGATGAACGTAACCAATAAGAAGGCAAACTCGATCTATCGGGTTTATATCAAGCGCTGCAGCTGATCGCGGAGTATAATCTCGAAGCAATCGATAAAAGAATCGCCAGGGCCTCAGGCGTATTCTCCGCCTTGGTAGTTAGAGGATCATCACTGGATAAAATAACATTAAACTTGGATAAACAAACAGACAAACAAAGTAAACAAACAAACAAGGCGAACGAACAAACACCTCTAGCTACTTAAAACTTACGGCAATCAACGGAATCACAAATACAAGTTTGATTGACACGACGTATATATCTGATACATACTCAGACCAAACATGCGATTGCGATTGTATTAATAATTGAAGATGAGACTGGCGACAGTTTGAAACAATAGATGGTTTCGAGGCTATGATTCATGTATATCTACATTGGTAATTATTAATATCAACCTAGCTATTAATATATACTACAATCAGTTTGTGTTTCGTGAACACAGGTGACTTGATAAGACACGAGAAGTGGCATCTCTGCGAGCTGAATCGAAAGCTCTCCCGAGTTATGTCGACATTGAAAAGAACAAGATCGCACTGTCTCGTACATATGGAGAATATTTAAGAACATACACCAATGGTGACTTAGAACTCTCGTGAGAAAATCGTAGATAGTGAAACATACAATTTAGAATGGATTACAAGAAATATATGTACATCGTTTGGATTCTTATAGGACTACTGGAGTATGTTTCGACATATACAGGTAGGTCTTCACAACTTTTATATTGCTGCACTTCATAAAATACTTTTAGAAAATGATAAGACTTAGACTTTGATATCTGACTTGAGTTTAAACACTGTTAAAATACATATGTCTTAACTTAGGGTACGATCGCAAAAAACAATAACGCTTGAGTTTTTTTTAACCATTGAAAACACTTCATGATTTTTCTTCGCTGTATTTAACCTCCCAACTTAGAACATTTTTTATCTAAAATCCCCTGCTCAAAATGTTCACATGTAACACCTATTCCATCAATTCTGGATTAATAGTAAACGAATTACTTTATATCTTGGTGTTTTTGTATACAATGTAAACCAAAGCATATGACTGGTAAAGTTATATTGAGTTCTTTTCGCCCTATTTTGTGCCATTTCGCTTTTCAAAAAGCGACCACCGTGTGAATTTTGATCAAGAGAACCACCGTAGTTTCACTGATTACGAGTTTAGATTTCACTTGAACCATTTTAAAAGTTTACGTTTATTTTTTGACGTCTTTATGCCGTGTTGACAAGCGACAATATGACTCTCAAAGGAGTTTTTGTAGTTTATTGTTCTTTAATGGATTCGTTTTTCTAAGCCGAGACATGTGATATACGGTTAGCATGTAGTAAAATAAAACCTTATACATATATCCTACAAATCAATTTAATGATATTTAATATGAAAATCTTTTATGAGGCTGCCTTTCAATGAACATCTTCATTTTATGGTTTTTCTTTTGTACAAACGATTTCTGGTTTTCGTCACATATAGACTTGTTTTGACTATTGAGTGTCAATATTTCAAACATTTCACTTTCATCTTTTTTATTTATTTTCCAACTTCAACATCCATATTCCAGTGAGTACATGCACTTATAATGATGATAATTATCGGGTGATGATAAAATGACGATAATGATGATAAAATGATGATCGATACATTAATATGAACAGAATGAAAATAACCAAATTAGTTTATATGCCGCACATTATCTTTGCTTAAAATCCGTCACATCAAAATAAAATAAATCGATTTTTGCTATATCTTATTCGTTAAGCGTATAATTTCATGTTTGGACATTAAAAGGTATATCCGGTCAATAAACTTTGCTATTGACTTAATCTCTAATACCACTTTTAAAAGCTTCAAGTACAATGGAGGCATAATGGAGGATGATATCACTTTCTCTCGGAAATACTGATGTCTCGGATTAAATGTTTGGTGTCCTCGTGATATTTATATTTTATATTGACTGGTTTATTAATGGGCTAACAGACAAGCAATTTCGTGTCGCCAATAGTGTGTCACCAATAGGGTGTCACCAATAGTATGTCACCAATAGAGTGTCACCAATACAATGTCACCGTAAATAAGATTCCTTTTTGCTATCAATTAGTCGGAATGAGATAGAAGTGTAAACTGAAAAAATCGAAAAAATCACACTGATACATTTTAAAACGGCTATGACAATTTGAACCGATTAATAGAGTGGCATTTCGAATAGGCCAACAACAAAATTCTTGAAATGGTTTATGGTTTCTTTAAAGTGAAGTGAAACTAATATAATATTTTGATTTACATGTCTCTGGCTTATCTACCCTTATCGAGCGTGGTTCAATATCGACACTCTGTATACAACTGATAAGCCCCTGAATTCGTTTATCCAATCAAGGCGCGTCCTCCCTCGGATCCATCGAATGATTCTAAATGGGTATACATTAACACGTCACGTGTCCCTATGGAGCTCTATGATTGGTCCCCAAACTGTAACGTTATCGAATTGATCAGAGGACAGTCCACTTCTAGGCTGCTAGCACAGGGTAAATGTTATCAAATCAGAATGAACTCTCATTGCTATAAAATGAAATCCTTCGAGAGTAATGTACACAATAACGGAGACGATATCAACAGACATCCTTGCCTAATGGGCTCAAAATTTGATAAAGTTATTTGTTTTGATATTCTTATCATAAAATGGACTTATATTTCTGTGTCACTTTTCATAAGTGGTAGCCATTGAACTAAGAGGGAGGGGGACTGAATATCCTCATCTCACATTTCTGTATCACTTTTTTTCATCAAATCTTTGATTTTGTGCCTAAAAAGGACTTGATAGAATACTTATGTAGGGCTCCTAAAAATATGAGGGCATTGAATATGATACACGAGCGCCAATGCCGCTCGTCTCCCAGATCGGCCGATGCCGTCTCGGTAAACAATCCAAAACACATGACCATGCATCGCTTGTCATTTAGCTTAATCAACAAAAATGATTATTCAAATTATACTGGCGACGTCATCTTCTATCAGACTAAACACATAGTTCCTAAATGTTACAAATACGGAATATTATTTATAGTAATTCTTGGTATTACTGTATAAACAAGTGGCTCTATTTAGCGATCCAAATCGCGTAATATGTCTCGAATGATCCACTCATTTCAGTCCATAGTCGTTCAACCCATTTATTTGATTGCTTTGGGTCGTCTCCATGGCACTTGGATGATCAACTAGCCGCATCAACCCCATCATACCTGATGAAAATCATCTACAATGAGTAGTCAGACAAGGTCACGTGATTTTGCAATGGCTTCTGGGAAGATTGCATCGAGTAGTCGGATTTGAAATCATTGATGGTTCGAATGCTTAAAATGCAATTCAAAGCTACTAAGTTTATTGGAAAATTCGATTACCATGTACCTTATCTAGATCTTTGGAGTGTATTTGGAATTTGATAGACTATTGGAAATATGGGACTTCAATATATAAGGGTATTTCCCAAACAGTATGACTGTACCAGCTATGGTCAACTTAAAATATTTGATAAAAAAGTAAGAACTTTCTTATTTTTTGCCAATGGGTTCGACCAAAAGTGTTCGGAGAGTGTTCACATTTCAAATATTTCTTAATATGTGAGTTCTTGGGAGAACCAAAAAAGTGTTCACATTGAGAGGTGTTCGGATTACAGAGGTGTTTACAGATATACAGGTTCTATTGTACCTCAGAAGGGTTTAAGAGAACCCAAATTCTAGAAACTGATAAATGCTACTATTTTGTTTGTATGTATATAGATTTCATTAGTACATTACATAACATCCCTATCATATGAAAATAGACTAATCTTCACTAAGAATCAATTTGGATATAGGCAGAGCAATTATCAGATCCCCAACTGTGTCATAATCAATTTATATTTGTAGCTGATGATACTTTTAAGCACCTCTGACTATTAAAGAGATTTGTAGGTTCACATCTAAGATATTCCAAAAGAACTAGGCATTGGAGTTATCAAAATTATCAAAAAACGAAGCTCATATTAAGCACCACCCAAGTTAAAAACAACGGACATATTTTCTAAATATTTTTGGTATAAAATATCCCGAGATTGTTGACTTCGACTGAAGTGGTAGCAAGTATATATGCTTTAGGCTTGCTGGCTCCCTGTTTTGAGCTTGTTTGGTTTTCGAGGGGAGTCTCTCGTCTCAAGAGATTCTGTAAATAAAACCGAATGTACGTTGATTGCGGATTGAATGTCGCTCATAAAAAGTCAAATTTCGTTTTTGTTGTTATATGTGTGGTATCTGTTCAAGTGTTTGGAATCGAGTCTGGGTTAAAGGTTTAAAAGTGAGAGATTTGTATGTATTTGGTTAGGTCTATATCCACTCCCGAAACTCCTGGGTTAGGGAGACAGGTTAAGGGGCCATCAAGGGGGGGGGGGGGGGTGCTAAGTTAATGTGAATGGTTGCCATTTTAGATTTGCTAAGTATGTGAATTACCCTTTTAAAAAAGTAATTTACAGTAATTATTACTATACTCTTACTTCAGGGTACCCTTAATTCGTTTCTTAAAAGAGAGCTTCGTCTTGGTCTATAAACTAGACTAGCGCGTATGGTAGCCTCTTTATATGATAGATTTGAGTTCATTTTCAAATATCTTCATTCAGTTTTGACTTTTAAAGAATTAGTTAGTCACTTCTGTTCGGTAAGAAAAATGGTAAATTGAATTAGTTTGACATGACACTTGAGAACCCATTTGCAAAGATGGATGGTTGACTTTATCAAATACGACAAAAATAACTATAATTGATTTCAGGAACAACCCTTAATAGTTAAAAAAAATAGTTAAAGTTATGTTTCATGATTTAACTATGTCTTTATATAGTAATTCTACACATACGAAATATACAGATAATTGATATAGAGAAAATGGAAATCCACACCTTGACTAGTTACACGGAATCATAAAATATTCTATTTATCCCATAAATCATTTTGCAACTCTCAAAATCATCCCAATATTTGAGAGAATGTTAACTAAAACAACTTAAGCTACATCAGTAGTTACAATATCAATTCATAATTTAACTGCCCATAAAACATTTCAAATTCAAAAATGTTACCCTTTTAATTAACATTACAATTTACAGCCCGCAAAAATTATATTTTGAAAAATGTTTAAGCTAAAACAACTTTAGCTACATTAGTATTTAGAATAAACATTTTAACGGAACAGCCCATAAAACATTCCGAAATCAAAAATGTTAAGGCTAAAACAACTTTAGCTACATTAGTATTTTAAATAAACATTTTAATGGAACAGCCCATAAAACATTCCAAAATCAAAAATGTTAAGCCAAAACAACTTTAGCTACATTAGTAGTAAGAATAAACATTTTACTGGAACAGCCCATAAAACATTCCAAAATCAAAAATGTTAAGGCTAAAACAACTTTAGCTACATTAGTATTTAGAATAAACATTTTACTGGAACAGCCCATAAAACATTCCAAAATCAAAAATGTTAAGGCTAAAACAACTTTAGCTACATTAGTATTTAGAATAAACATTTTACTGGAACAGCCCATAAAACATTCCAAAATCAAAAATGTTAAGGCTAAAACAACTTTAGCTACATTAGTATTTAGAATAAACATTTTAATGGAACAGCCCATAAAACATTCCAAAATCAAAAATGTTAAGGCTAAAACAACTTTATTT